TTAAGTGATAGGAATCAAGTTTTGCTTATCTTTGAATTTCTATTTAAGTCAATTTATGATATATTACAAATGCTCAGTGCCTATTATATATTTTGATAACATTGTGAAAAATGTTACTTCAAAATATATAATATGCATATATTATATATGCCATATATAGAAAAAATATAATATTAAAATGTGCTGATTGCCTCCTATAGTCTCCATTTTGTCTTCTCTAATGAAAGATCTCTGAGAAATGTGCTTGGCTACAAGATAATATTTCTCAGACTAAATTTCTCAGTGAGATATAATTTTAGCATTTTCAGAAGCTTCTAAGAAGATTTTATGAAAGCAGAGGATTCTGTGCTCAGCCCAACTGTTCTTTCTTCCTTTCAGTAACCAAAATATACATACGGTGGCTTAAATAGAACAAGAAAGTTACATCATAAAGTTATTTTTGTTCTTTGTTTTTTATATGACACAAATCTATGTCTATCTTGTTTAAGTTATTTAATTTTAGGTCTGAATGTAGATGATTACAAACTTAACTAAATTAAGAATACTTTTTCTTACTAGAAGAAATGAAAGCGAACACAGAGAGTATTAGGAAATAGTCGGATGTGGGAGGAGGAAGTTTGGAGGCAAACAAAATCAGTGCTAGATTTTAAGGGTAGTAAACTTCCTCAAGAATTTCAAACAACAAACCATAGTCTGTTTTGCTGTTACATGTATTCCTGCACTGCAAAATGGTCCACAAGCCACTGGCAAATGGGGAGATGATATCAGTGTGACAATGCTGGATTTTTTTGGCTCACATGATTTCCAAGAAAGCAGGAACAAGTTTTCTCCACAACTAAAAGGTTTTGATCAACATTTGTGTCATGACAGTGTAGAATATGTCATTTATTTCTCTTCTTAGGACTAAAACTGATACATCAATGATATTCTGACAAGGATTCCTCTGTTGATCACTCAGGGACACTACAGAAATTCTATATTCAGCTGCTAGGCCCAGGGAATAAAGGTGGCAGGGCCGCTTTCCTGAACAATAGGCAGAGTGAGCAGAGGACAGACACGGTGAAGAGGCTCATGACTTTGCTCATGTGAAGCCCAAATTCTAGACTACAGTTCACCATTGCTCAGACCCACTGCTCGAGTGGCAAAATGTTTTCTACTTCAATTCCCACCATTTCATTGTTGTTGTTGTTGCTGTTGCTGCTTTTTTGGGTCATGCCTGACAATGCACAGTGGTTACTCCTGGCTCATGCACTCAAGAATTACTCCTGGAGGTAATTGGGGGGGCCATATGGAATGCTGGGAATCGAACCCAGTCAGTCGCGTGCAAGGCAAACATCCTACCCGCTGTGCTATTGCTCCAGTCCCAGCCAAATCAGTATTGCTACCTCACAGTGTACTGACGTTTAACAAACAGGTAAGTCTCTGATCCAGAACCTTAAAGAGTAAAGATACAGCGATTTGCACATAAACTAAACTTTCACTGTGTGGACTGCGCATAGCAGCGATCACCCCCACTCTGTACTTTCCTCCTTAGTGACACAGCAGAGATTCATCCACCCTCCTAACTCACCTGAAGTGCCACCAAGAGCCATCGGTAACCAAAAAACTAAATCTACAGCGCCACCTATTCACATAGAAGAAGAAAGACAGCAAATGATTAAGTTGCTATTTAGATTTTAAACAAGAAATGAAGATGGTGCTAATCAAATGTACAGAGTGTTATACCAAATGGAAACTTGAGACTTTGAGGCAATTTGTGATCCCAAAGAGATAATGAAAACTTCCAGGAGACAAAATTTAAAAATGTGCAGGATTGCAACCATGATAAAGTACTCAAATGAGCTGTCATAAAAAAAAACTCAAAGAAATATTTGAAAAACTTAGAAGGCATTTCAATGAATTCAGCAATTAAATTACACAACAAAAGTACTTCATAGATTAAAAAAAAATGATGGAAGCTAAAAGTAAAAATCTACCAGAGAGGTGGAGGGATAGGTACTTGATCATTGTATAACTGAAACCGAAGCACAAAAATTTCTAAGTCTACAACTATACCTCATGGTGTTTCACTAATAAAAATTAAAAAATAAAAAAAAATTTTAAGAAAATCTACCAGAAATGTAGGAGTGGCACAACCAATAAATGAGATAAAGAGTGCTATCAACAGGAAGGACAATTTAGATAACTGGAAGATCAAATCCTAGAAATTATTCAGGTGGAAGACAGAGATGTAAGATGTTTAAAAATGGAGAAATGCTAAAACTGCTATATGATTCTATTAGGAAATTAACAAAAACAACAGGTATCCTAGAAAATGGAAAAAAAGTATAAGGGAGAAGCAAGCTTATTCAAAGAAGTAATAACCAATAACTTACAAAACCCAGGAAAGAAACTAAATATACAAGTCCATGGAGTTAACAAAACACCTAATTAGTAAAGTAAAAAGAGGCTTGCACCAAGATACTTATAGCGAAATTTGTCAAGTGTCCAAGACAAACAAAGAATATTAAAGACAAGAAAGGCAAAAGTATGCAACAATCAAGATACTTTCACCATAATATTTCTCAACAGAATTCCACAGGCCAGGTGAGAGTGTTATTAAAAAGAACTCAAAGATAAAAACTATCATCTAAGAATATTCTTTTCAGCAAAACTATCTTGGAGAAATGAAGGAAAAATATGTTTTCCCAGGCAAATAAAAGATGTAGGTCAACATCACTAACCTTCCCTTACAAGAAATGTTGAAAAAAGCTCTTGTATATGAACAAAAAACATCAGTGTCACTTTCTTGAATGAGAATATCTGTGAAATCAGAAAGGCATGACTCTATCCCAGAACAGGATATTAAAAACTAAATTTTATAATAGGTCAATAGGAAGGCAATAATAAAAATAGTTGTAGTCACTCAAATGTATTAATGACATCACAGTATGAAAAGGTAATTTATGGGAAGCAGAGAGATAGTATAGCTGGTAAGTTACTTTTCTTGCATGAAGTGAAATAGGATTTGATTCCCCAGTATCCTATTTGGTCCTCTGAGTACTGCCAGGAATGATTATTGAGCAGAGAGTCAGGAGTAAACCGTAATATTGCCAGGTGTGCCCCCAAAACTAACAAAAAGATAATTTATGAAAATAAAAATAGGTAGAATTTGTATAAGTAAATGGTGACAGTACAACATAAACTAATAATAAATATTATTTGAGATAGTAGTGCATATGGAGCATGCTAATGAACAGAGCTTATTTGTGACACAAAACAAATATAAATAAAATCATAAAGATTAAAATCATAGCAAGTATCTTTTCATATCAAAATTCTGTAACAGCCACCATGACTGCCCTGAGGGGAAAGGGTGTTGCTCCCTTCTGCCTTTTTCCCTCTGGAAAGAAAAGATGGCAGCCACTTCGGAGCTTTATGGAAAGCCAGGTATGAGTCGGTCCTGACAGGGTGACTGAAACCTCATGGGAAAGGGGCGTTCCCGGCTCGTCCTTCACACCCTACCGAGGTCACGAGTTGCCCCCCACGAGCTGCTCTCCAGCATGGCCTTGGCTCCAGAGCACAGAAGCCAATCTCATAATTATCTGACTCTCAGCAGAAATACTTCCAGGCTTAATAAGTAAAATACCAGAAATCCAAAATCATCATTTGGTTCTTGTAACCAGCTGTAGAAAACAAATTATTTCACAATGTCTTTTCAGCAGGTCTGATTTTGGGGTGTAAACTCTAAATAATAATGGTGCATCTTTTGTCGAAACAATGAATCTAAACAAAGTAGATAGAGTGTTAACTAGAATTCATCTGCCTCACAGGCATTGGGAGGGTTGGGAGGGGGTGTTTATTGGGGTTCTTGGTGGTGAAAAATAAGTATTAGTGAAGGGAAATGTGTTTGATAATTGCATGACTGAGACTTAAACCTGAAAGCTTTGTAACTTTTCCCACAGTGATTCAATAAATAAAAATTTAGAAAAATTCTGTAACAGTAGAACTAACCATGAAAACAAAGCTAGAAAAAACTCTAAAAATTAAATAACATGATACTGAAAAATTAGGTCAAGAAAATCAGAGAATATGTAAAAAAAAATACCTGGAGAAAAATTAAAACGAAGACAAGAGTTGCCAAAACCTCTGGAAGGCAGCACATGGTACACCAATGTTAAATTTATGACAGTGTGGATTAACCTCAGGAAACAAAAAAAACAACAACTTTTTCCTCATACCACAAGGAACTAGAGAAAGAAGGGGAAAACGAAACCAAAACTCAGTAGAACAAAGGGGATAGGAAAAATAAGAACAGTGAAAACAAAATATACCCCAACCCCAAATATTTTCAAAAGAAATGAAGAGCTGGTTCTTTGAGAAAATAAACAATAGATCAGACTCACAATTATTTTCAAAAGGGTTAAGATAGCTCAAATAACTTCACCAAAGACAGAGTCACAACAGAAACTGAAGAAATACAAAGGATGGCAAGGGATTACTATGAATATCTATATGCCAAAAAATTATAAAATCTAGAATAAACGGAGAATTTCTCTCTTTTTAACATAGGAAGCAGGATTTATTGAGGTGGAGTGAAATGGGTGAGGTGGGGTGGGGAGGGCTGGGAAACAGAAACTCAGACAACTAGACTCCAAAGTTCTCAGGAATGCAGTGCTCACTATTTGCCAAGAAAATCATTATTATGGATATATCATGTCCTCACATCCATCTGAGATGAGTTATTTTTCAGTCATCATGTCTTCAAATTTATTTGCACTCAAATTGATAACGTCCTATTATTTGAAAATGTAGATCTTCTGGGGGACAAGGAATTTGAACTTGGTTCAGTGATAAACCTAAATCGTAAGTTCCTTATTCTGCAATCTGGTGCAGATGGACAGAATGACTTGAACAATGAGGCAACTATTCTCTAGAGTTTCCCCAAGGCACCACATATACCTGTTCCGAGCCTATGATGTGGGTCATCAGGAGGGCAAATATGACTAACCACTGCAAAGAACTATATCTAAAATCCCTTATGGCAACCTGTAGAAGCAAAAGGCTGAATTCACTACAAAGGGGCTGCTATTTGCTTCCATTGCACGCTGAGTGGAAAAATTCTTAAAAACACATAGGAACTCTCCTAGACTGAAACATAATGAAATTGAAAATCTGGTAGACTAATCATGAGAAAGAAAGCTGAAACACTAATCAAGAGTTTCAAATACTAAAATTCTAGGACCAGATATCTCCACCAGTTAATTTTAAGCCAGTGGTCAAAGAAACAATATGTATTACTTTCAAACTCCTCTAAAAATTTGAGGTGACAAGAACGTTTCCAAGCACATTTTTTTAAGCTTTTTGAGTCACACCCTGCGATGCACAGGGGTTACTCCTGGCTTTGCACTCAGGAATTACTCCTGACAGTACTTAGGGTATCATATGGTATGCTGGGAATCCAGCCCAGGTCAGCCGCTTGCAAGGCAAATGCCCTACCCGCTGTACTATAACTCCAGCCCACAAACACATTTTATGATGCCAACATAATCCCATTTCCAAATTCAGACATCATATTAAAACAAAATGATAGTCAATATTAGAAAATTTGGAAATAACTAGCATTAGGAATGTGGTTTAAAGATAAGTCTTTACTATAGGTGGGACTGTCTGGCTTAGCCTCTGTGGAAAATAAAATGGGACTTTTGAAAAATTTAAAATAGATTTTCCACATGACCCAATGAATTCATTCTTTGGCATCTAGCTCAAGAATACAAAAACATTAATTTGAAAATATATAGGCACATCTATATTGATTGCAACACCATTTACAACTGTGAATATCTATAAATAACCGAAAATGCCCAAGAGAAGATGAGTAGATAAAGAAATGCAATAAAATAATATTCACTTTAAAAAAGAATTGTAAGATTGCCCTTTGAGGATTTTCTTTTGCTATACAACTTGGATGGAACTGGGGCATATCATGTTAAGCAAAATAAGCCAGGAAGAGAAGAAAAATAACAAAATATTTTATATGTATGTGGAAATGCCCAAAGGAAAAAAAATCCTGTAATTTGGCCAACAGAATTGTTTGCCAACTGGTGGTAGTGTGGGTTGAAAAGATATAGGACTTAAGGCAGGAGGGAAGGCATACTGACATTTTGGTGGTTGGTGTGGAGTGGTAGTATAGAATGTCTATAACATTAATATGAATTCTATCATGTATCTCAATAAAAAGAAAGCTATAGACCAATATCTCTAAAAATATAGATGTAAAATTTCTCAACAAAATACTAGCAATCTAAGTTCAAACAAAACTTTAAGAGGAGCGTACAAGATGATCACACAGAATAAAAGTATTGTTCAAGACACCCAAGTCAATAAATATGATTCAGCACATAAATAAAATGAAGGCAAAAACTCACATAGTTATGTTAATAGATGCAGAAAAAAAGCAGTAACAATAGCCAATCTATTTAAAAGCTCTAAATAAAGTGAGTATAGATATAAAAAAAACACAAAATAGTAAGGGATATACATATAGGCATACAGCTAGCATCATATCTAATGATGAAAAATCTTTCCTCTAGTATGAAAAAATAATGCAAAGATGCACATTTTCATCCTACTAGTCCACATAATATTGAAATTCCTAGTCAGAGAAGCAAGGCAAAATAAAGAAACACATTATCCAGATTATAAAGGAAGACGCAAACTATAGCTATATGCAAGGAACATAGTACACATATGAAACCTTGAGAGCTACACTCAAATTATTAGAAATGTTCAATATACAGAGATCTAGTGCCTTACCATACACAAATCAATAGAAAGAAAATAAAACAATCTCATTTTATAACTGCATCAAAAGGAACTGAATACCCAGGAGTTTAACTAAGTTTAAGTTTAAGTTTAAGTAATACATTTAATTAAGGTGTAGTAAGGGCTATACCCAAAAAATATTCAAAGAAAGAGGTGATACAAAGAAGAGGAAAGATACATTGTGCCATGATTTAAAATGAATATAATTAAAGGCTGGAGCGATAGCACAGCAATAGGGCGTTTGCCTTACAAGCGGTCAACATGGAGTTCGATTCCTCCGCCCCTCTCGGAGAGCCCGGCAAGCTACCAAGAGTATCTCGCCTACAAGGCAGAGCCTGGCAAGCTACCCGTGACGTATTTGATATGTCAAACACAGTAACAACAAGTCTCATGATGGAGACATTACTGGGCCCGCTCGAGCAAATCGATGAACAACGGGAGGACTGTGACCGTGATAATTAAAGTATGTTAGAGCCTAAATCAATATACATATTCAGTGTGATCCCTATCAAAATCCAAATACTACTATTAACAGAAATAGAAAAATAATTCTAAAATGTATTTGAAATCATGAAAAACTCCCAAGGCCCAAAGAAATCTGAGAAAAGGAACAAATATGGAGGTTTCACACATCCTTGCCTTCAAGCTAACCTATAAAGTGAGAGTAATAGAAATAGCGTTATAGGAAAACAAACAAGATGAAAAACCAAACAAACAGATCAGATCAACAGTACAGTGCTGAAACACACAAAACCAAACATATATGAACTTATACAAGGGAGCTGAGAACATATAATAAAGGAAGTAGGCAGGGCATTTGTCTTGCATGCGGCCAACCCGGCCCACCCAAGTTCGATTCCTCCGCCCCTCTCGAAGAGCCCGGCAAGCTACGAAGAGTATCTCACCACACAGCAAAGCCTGGCAAGCTCCCTATGGTGTATTCGATATGCCAAACACAGTAACAACAAGTCTCACAATGGAGATGTTACTGGGCCCACTCGAGCAAAACGATGAACAGGACAGTACTAGAGTGCATTTGTATACTACTTAATTCAGCCACATGACAAAGAACGAGATAAGGCTATCTTGCACAATACACAAAGTGAATTGAAAATGGATTAAAGATTTAAATGTAAGACCAGAAATCATAAAACTAGTAGAAGAACTAAGAAAAAACTAGTAGAAGATAGCAGTTGCACAATGTTGCTTTTGAGATTTCTTTAAGGACTCGTTTCCAACGGCAAAGGAAACAAAAACAAAAATAAAACAAATGGAGCTATATCAAGCTAAAAGGCTCTTTTGCACTGGGCAGAAAACAAAATAAAAGTCAAAACAAGAAAATATCCTGGAAACTGAAATATGGCTCTGCAATAAAACAGATTTCTTGCACACATGAAGCCTGGGTTTGATCCAGAAAAAAAATTACATCCTACTAAGTGGGAGAAAACATTTGCATATCATACATCTGCCAAGGGCAATGTTCAAAATATAGAAAGAACTCATACACTGTTGCTAGAGAACAGCTGAGGGAGGCCAGTGGATAGGAAGGCATCTGGTGAGTGCCTGTTGACCGTTGAGCCTGGTCTATGACTTCCTGCTCTGTGGAGCTATCACCACCAGCCCCACAGGGTAACCTCACTGAATGCCTGATTCTGCTGTACTTGGAAATGAATCCTGGCCACCCTAGATCTCAGGGGAGAGAAAAAGCTAAAATTAGGACAAGATTGAACTCTTTGGGGTCCAGAAAAATATGTGAGAATAGCCTCCATCTGAAAATTCATTTATTTGATGTGTGGAAGAAAGAATTCAAGGACAGGACAGGGGGTACATAAAAGCAGAATTTTTTTTTAAGGAGAAAGGATACCCCTGAGATGTGGGTGTGAGTGGATTTAAGGGAGATTCAGGCATTGGTTGTTAGGGCAAGGGTTGATGTAAGGAGTAATGAAGGGGAAGAAATATGCAGAAGGAGTTAGCATGAGCAGCGAGATGGGGGTGGTGCTGAAGATGTGCTTGCATAAAAGGATAGCATGCTCCTTTATACTAGTACGTATAATTAGTGTCTACTATGTTCTAGATACTGGCTGTCACTTTTTTCTAAGTCCTCTTTTTCGGGGGATGAGGGCATACCCAGCTGTGCTCAGGGCTTACTCCTGACTCTATGCTCAGGCATCACACCTGGCAGTGCTCAGGGGACATATGTGGTGCCAGGAATTGAACTGTGGTTGGCTGTGTGCAAGGCAAATATATTACCAGTGTATTATCTCTCTGGCACGCAAATCCTTCTCCATCGGGAAGTTGGAACCACAGGGTGCTGGGTTGGTGGCTCAAGGTTCCTTTAGTTTTCTTCATAAAACACACCAGATAGTCTTTTTTTTTTTTTTTTTTGCTTTTCATAGCAGTTTTTCACAGTCTCTCTTACAACACAGTTGCATAACCAAAACAACCATGTTAAGTAAAAACTGGATAAACCTGAATAGACACTTCTACAGAGACAAACAGCACATACTCATCATCACATTTTTTGAGAAATGCAAGTCAAAACCACAATAAAATATCCCCTCATTTATGAGAATGGCTATTAATAAAGAGGCAAGAAGTAGCAAGTGTTAGGGTCATGCACACGGCTCAGTGGTAAAGCATATGCCTTGCATGTGGGAGGCCCTTGATTCAACCTCTGGAAAAAGAATGAAGATAAAGCAAAGGAGGAAGAAAGGAAGGAAGGGAAGGATTTCCTGTAACATTATTTATAATAACAAAGATTTAAAAACAACCTAAATTACCTAGATATGGATGAATACATTTTTTAAAAGTGGTATATATAATTATAGAATACTATTGTCCTATTACAGAAAAAAATGAATTTTAACAGACAAATTTTGAGGGCCTCATGCTGAATGATATGTCAGAGAAAGAAAGACAAATTTTAAATTATTTTGCTCTCCGGTGAAAAGGTAAAGATATAAAATAATTGCCAACTCAAGCAAAATGAAACAAATTCTTAAGACTATAAGGATAATATAGACGTTCCAGAATGTAAGGGGGAAGGAGATGGATAAATAAGGAAAAGAATCGGTTGTATGGGTGGATGATAAGAACTAAACTTTTTGTAGGGATCACAATGCAATATGTACAGAAATAAAATACACTGGTGTACACTCAAATCTATTTAATTTTATAAATTAGTGTTACTTCAAGTTAAATAAAAAAAGAAAAGTAAAATCTTAGCAACGTGAATATCTTTTTCAAAATCCTACCAACAGAACTTGGTTTAGTGTAAGTATTGACTATGTTAATACTTTTGAGAACATTTCCCAATATTAGACTTCTAAAGC